GTGCTGAAGTTTGTGCGGGCAGGATATTGCTGGCCCCGCATGGAATATGACGCTAAAGATTTTGTACGAAAATGTGATAAGTGCCAACGCTACGCACCACTAGTGTAACAACCGACAGAACCTTTACATTCGGTTCTATCTCCATGGCCAATCATGAAATGGGGAATGGAAATTATCGGACTGCTGCCACCGGCTCATGGAAAGGTAAGATTTCTTTTAATTTTGACTTACTATTTTTCTAATTGGGTGTAGGTCCTTATCAAAAGATTGGGGAACGCGAAGTGGTCGATTTCTAGTGGGAAAATATAATTTGCAGGTTCAGAATGCCAAAAGAGGTTGCATGTGACAATGGGCCATAGTTTATCAGCGCAAAAATTAAAAAGTTCATCGAAGATTTGAAAATAAAGAGGATCACATCTTCACCCTGTCATCCGAGTGCAAACGGTCAAGCGGAGTCAACGAACAAGGTGATTGTTCAAAACCTCAAGAAAAGGTTAGTAGCGGCAAAAGGCAATTAGCGGGAAGAATTTCCCGGAGTTCTATGAGCTCACCGAACAACGGCCAAATCGAGCACAAGAGGAACTTATTTTTCCCTGGTGTATGGTGTAGAAGCTGTAATCTCGGTGGAAGTAGGTGAACCCACCTTAAGGTATTTCTAGGAAGATGAGGAATCAAACAACGAAGCAATGTTAATCAACTTGGAGCTGCTCGAGGAACGCAGGGACTTGGTGCATGTAAGAATGGCAACTAAAAAGCAGAGAATGGAGAGATATTATAATCGAAGAGCCAACCTCCATTATTTCAAAGTAGGAGATTTGGTTCTAAGGAAAATAACCCAAAATACTCGGAAAGCTCAATACGGGGAAGTTAGGCCCAACGTGGGAAGGTCCCTACCAGATTTCAGCTGTCACCTGAAAAGGTTCATACGAGTTGGAGAACCAAAATGGAGACAATTTGCCCAGCAATTGGAATGTGGCAACCTCAAAAGATATTATTGATGATGAACAATACCCAATCCGAAAGTATGTGCTGCACTCTTTTTCCCTTCGTCCAATTTTCGTCCCAATGCGGTTTTTCTAGCAAGGTTTTTAACGAGGCAGCGACAGAAAGCATACTACGAATATAAAAGCAATAAGAATTTTAATAGCAAGGCAAACAAGCAAGTTTCCACTCGAGGATGGTTAGATAGTCTTTGGATCTATAGCAAATTCCCACTATTCACGAGCACAAACCACTAAATGATTGTTAGGTAATCTTTTGCTCGATAGCATAGATTCCCGAGGGAAAGTAAGGCGTGTTACCGAGTTGAGGATTATGTAGCAATTCATTGGTGGAATCTTTGAAGGCACAAGACTTCCAGTGTTCTAATTCGCATTCTTCGCATTCGAACACTGGGGGGAATGATATTAGGATACGACATCAATAACTACCACGTTGATCGGGAAACAAAAATCTAAAAATGTGTCATCGAGATCGGGGATTGCACAGCCAGCCCGTAGAAACAGGTTATACAAGATAGCCACAAGTAATGGAAATTTCTTTTTACCGTAGCAAATGCTTGTATACTTTTGAAAATAGAAGGAAATACTTGTGAAATGAAATCCTTTTGTTTTTATCTTGTTTCTGGTTTGAACGATGAACTAACCTTTTCATTTGAAAGTTAAACCAGTACTTCAAATGTTAGTGCCGTAATGAAATAGAGGTCAAGAGTACCGTAAACATAAAAGGGCCCTCTTATGAAAATCCTCACGTTAAAGGGTTGGTTTCGGAAGAATTTATGCTCAGAATCAAAATGCCTTCGGGGAAAAATGCACCCGAAGACGTTCGCGAAAGGACGCAAAAAATAAACTTGTGCAAATACTTATAGAAACCCTCACATATAACGGTTGATGCCCGAAACCAGAATACTTTCAGGAAAAATACATCCAAGGTTATACATAATAAGACGCAAACAGGAAAACTCGCGCAAAAATCCTTAAGCAAAAGGAAGAAAATACAAAGATTAAAAACTTGCATGGATATTCAAACGGAAGTAAGACTCAAGCAATACTTGAACAAAAAGATGTCTTTATTCACAAATCACATGCCATAATGGCGCTGATACAAGAATTGGAAAAACAAAAGAAAAGCTAAACTGCAGTATCTCCGGAACTAGGAGAAAGAGAAGTGTCCGTCCCCCTGAGAAGTAGTTGGATCCACCAATGACTCAACATTTTCCCCATTTTGATCTTCAGCATCATCGTCCTCCGTTTCCTCTTCAGTTCTCGAGAACTCGGAACCGAAACCAGAAGGACCAGGAGCATTAGACTGTGTTGGGAGCCCATTTTTTGCAGCTAACTCAAGTTCACATGCCTTAGCAATTTCGATATCAAAATCAATGATACCAGCTTTGGCCTCTTCAGAGGTTTTTGATAATCGGCATAAAGTATGTATATTTTGATATATATCGCCTCGCATTTTGCTCTTGTTTCAATGATTTGAGATGTTTAATATGATGATTTGTGCTAAATAATGGTGTTTCTATGTGTAGGAATCATTCAGATGCAATTTGGGACGAAAGGGTGCGAATTGGAGCGAAATCAGAGCAAAAACGCAAAAAGCCAATTTTGAGGGCCACAGCCAGCGTGGGGCGCTCGCTGTGGCCCAGTTTCCAGTAGTTAATTATTTTGAGCGCCAGGGCCAGTGCCCCACGCTACCCTGGATGCTCGGATCGCTAGAGTATCCTATTCCGACTTGGACTCGGTTATTTTCACCCCAAGACGCCTCCAATTGATATAAAAGCCATCCTAAAACCTATTTTGAGGGGAGAACGTGATTTTGGAGAGAAAACAAAGGCACAAAACACTTGGAAGCACGGATTTGAGCAATTCCTCTATCCTTTTTCTAGTACTCATTGATTTTATGCTTGAAAACATTATTTTTGATGATTGTATGAACATGAGTGGCTAAGAACCCTATTGTTCTAGGGTCATGGGTAAAACATGAATGTTGTTGTTCGAAGTTTAATTTGACGAAGTTGATTTTATCATATTGGGTTGTTTATTTAATTCTGTTTTTAATTATTTTGCTGAGTAGCTAACAGTGAAATACTATCCACGAATCTATAGTTGAACTCGAATGTGGGAACTCTAGATTGCATATAGAATTAAATAGAGAAAGTTCTTGAACCTGGGCATCGGGGAACGGATTTGTAATTAGGATAGACATATACCTAATTGCCTTGCTTGGTTGAAATACAGGAATTATAAATGCATTCTTGTTAATCTTAATTCCATAGACATATAGGCATTAAGTTAACTTGAATAGGCGAGTAAGGACTCGATAGATTCTTATGAGTAATATCAACCCTGTTAATCAACAATCCAGATAAATCAATTAGTTATTTTAAGCCAAGAACGCAACACAATTGTTATCTAGCCCGTGACCCTAGAATATTCTCTCCTAGTGATTGTTATTCGAAATTGCTATTTGTTTGGTTGATTATTCTAGTTATTTCATTAATTGATATTTTTAGGTAGTAAATTAGTGACGACTATATTTTGTGAAAAATCTCTTGGATCGATAAGGTAATTAAGTTTGAATCAGTCAATAGTTAATCACAAGTCTTCGTGGGAACGATACTCTACTCACTACTTTATTACTTGACGATCACGTGCACTTGCGTGAGTGTTTTTGGTCGCAACAAGTTTTTGGCGCCGTTGCCGGGGACTTAGAAATTAGCTACTTGACTGAATTGAGCTTTTATTAGTTATTTATTCAAGTTTAATTTTCAGTTTACCTTGCTTGTGTTAACACAGGCTCTTCTCTTGAATGCGGAGGAGTAGAAGCACAAAAAATCTCCTTCCTCTTGATCCTGAAATTGAATGAACACTTCATAGAGTGAGGAGGGAAGTCGAAGCTAGAACTAGAATTGAAAGAGAGTTGAACATCGTATTTCAACCACAGCCAATAGAGATGGCAGGTAATGAAGAGCGCGCGGTGATTGAAGCCGCAAGACCCAGTCTTGATAATATGACTCAGGCTATTGTGAAGCCTGATGTCACAAGGCACTTTGAACTCAAACAATACATGGGGCAACTGATCCAGTCCACAGGGCAATATGTGGGTCTATCTCATGAAGACCCGCAGAGGCACATTCAGAATTTCTTGGAAATTACGGACACTTACAATTATCCGAACGTTTCCAAGGACTATGTCAGGCTGACAATTTTCCCCTTTTCATTGCTCGGGGAAGCTGAGGAATGGTTGCGGAAGGAGCTAGCAAACTCAATCCGCACTTGGGACGATCTAGCAAGGAAATTCTTAATCAAGTTTTTCCCCACTAAGAAGACAAAGTCATTGAGGAGTCAGATTCTTGGGTTCGAACAACGGGATGGCGAGACACTTCGTCAAGCATGGGAAGATACAAGAAGCTACTCAGAGACTGTCCACATCATTGTCAGACTGACGAGGTATTGGGTCACACTTCTGTTGATGGGTTAGATGATGCATCAAAGATGAATCTTGATTCAGCTTGTGGGGGTAGTTGCATGGCTAGACCGTACAGTGAAATCCAACTCTTGCTCAATAACTTCACTGCTAATGATCATAATTGGCAAGGTGATGGTGATTCACGAAAGGCAATTAAGCAGAAAGCAGCCGGGTTAATTGAGCTTGATGACTTTTCAGCCATGAGAGCCGATATAGCAAAATTAGTAAATCAGATGAATAGAATGACAATGCGGCAACCTCAACCGATGCAACATGTACAACAAATGTCTATTTGCTGTGAACTATGTGGCGACAATCATATGAGTGACATGTGCCCCACGAATCCTGAATCCATATACTATGTGGGGCAACATAGCAGAGGTCCAATGAATCAGCATGCACAATATGGGAACACTTACAATCCAAATTGGAAGAATCATCCCAACTTCTCATGGGGTGGAAATCAGCCGAATCAGAATCATTATAGACCCCAAGGAAAATTCAATCAACCTCAGAAGCCACCCCAACAAATGGAAGAGAGTACAAATGATTTGCTAAAGAAGTTGTTGCTTGACAAGCAACAACTTAGGACCGATTTCAAAAATCTTGAGAGGCAAATGGGGCAGTTAGCAACAAATCAAAATACTAGACCTGCAGGCGCTCTCCCCAGTGATACAGAGAAGAACCCTCAAGTGAAAGCAGTTACACTCAGAAACGGGAGGGAACTAGAGGAAGTGCCAAAGAAAAGAAAAGACAAGCCCATACCTGAGGGAGAGTTGATTCCTAAAGCGACACACGAATCAAAGAATAAGGATGCAATTCCAGAGCCAGTAGAGGCTGCAAGGCCACCACCACCTTTCCCCCAGAGATTGCAGAAAAAGAATGATGATCGCATGTTCAGCAAATTTCTCTCTATGTTGAGCTAGGTTCAATTAAATATTCCACTCGTTGATGTACTTCGTGAAATTTCAAAGTATGCTGAGAACATAAAAGATATAGTGGCACACAAAAGAAGATTGACTGAATTTGAGATAGTTGCACTTACTGAGGAGCACTTCAAGGGTCCAAAACAAGCTCCCTCAAAAGGTTAAGGATCCTGGCAGCTTCACCATCCCGGTGCGAATTGGTAATATTGATGTGGGTCGTGCTCTTTGCGATTTAGGGGCGAGCATAAATCTGATGCCCTTATCCTTGTTCAAGCAATTGGGTCTGGGAGCTCCAAGACCAACTACTGTGATGCTGCAGCTGGCTGATAGGTCGATAGCACACCCCGAGGGAGTGATTAAAGATGTGTTGCTGCAAATTGGAAAATTTATCTTCCCTGCGGACTTTATTATCCTAGATTATGAGGCTGATGAACTGGTTCCAATCATATTAGGGCGACCTCTCTTGGCTACTGCTGATGCAATTATTAAAGTATGAGAGGGCAAAATGATTTTGAGGGTGGATGATGAGGAAGCAGTCTTTAATGTCTACAAGGCAATCCAACTTCCTCGCCACTATGCGGAGCTCTCAATGGTATCTGTTGTTGAGGGGGATGAGCAAATTCTTGACACGAGTGTATATCTAGACGATTCTCTAGAGAAAGCACTTATGTTGTTCGATAGCCTGGGGATTGATGATGAGGTTGAGGAGATGATGTTTATCCTAGATACATCTTGTGCTTACATGTAGGGGATACACCCCTTTGAGCCCCTGAATAGGCCAGATGGGCTTCCTCCAAAGCCATCAATTAAGAAGGCTCCAAAATTGGAGCTAAAACCCCTGCCCCCTCACCTTCAATATGCTTATTTGGGTGAATCTAACACTTTATCCGTTATTGTTCCTTCTGACTTGTCTAAATTGCAGGAAGAGAAGCTGTTGAGAGTGCTACGTGAGCACAAGCGAGCACTTGGGTGGACAATGTCTGACATTAAGGGCATTAGTCCAGCTTTTTGCATGCATAAAATCCTTATAGAGGACGGACACAAGCCAAGTGTAGAGCAACAACGCCAACTAAATCCAATCATGAAAGAGGTGGTAAGAAAAAAAGTGATTAAGTGGCTTGATGCAGGTATTGTATTTCCAATCTCGGATAGCAAATGGGTAAGCCCCGTTCAATGTGTACCTAAGAAAGGGTGGATGACTGTAGTGGTTAATGAAAATAATGACTTGATTCCCACAAGAACTGTCACTGGGTGGAGGATTTGCATAGAATATAGAAAATTGAACAATGCCACCCGAAAGGACCACTTCCCTCTCCCCTTTATTGATCAAATGCTTGATGGATTAGCTGGCCAGGAATACTATTTTTTCTTAGATGGTTATTCGGGGTATATTCAGATTGCTATAGCCCAGAGGACCAAGAGAAAACCACATTTACGTGTCCGTATGGCACGTATGCGTTCAAGAGAATGCCCTTTGGTCTCTGTAATGCACCTGCGACTTTTCAAAGGTGTATGATGGCTATTTTTATTGACATGGTTGAAAGATTTGTAGATGTGTTCATGGATGATTTTTCCGTGTTTGGGTGCTCTTTTGATAACTGTTTAATGAATCTTGATAAAGTACTTGCTAGATGTGAAGAGACGAACCTGGTGCTAAACTGGGAAAAGTGCCATTTCATGGTACGTGAAGGTATAGTTTTGGGACACAAAGTGTCCAAAAATGGTTTGCAGGTGGACAAAGCAAAGGTGGAAGCAATTGAAAAATTGCCCCCACAGACATCCGTCAAAGACATTCGCAGTTTCTTGGGCCATGCAGGTTTTTATCGTTGTTTCGTTGAAGATTTTTCGAAAATTTCCTCTCCCTTGTGCAGGTTGCTTGAGAAAGATGCCTCCTTCAAATTTGATGATGCTTGTTTGAAAGCATTTGAGGAGTTGAAGGGAAGGTTAGTGACTGCACCAATTATCATTGCTCCGGATTGGGAGCAGCCATTTGAGTTGATGTGCGATGCGAGTGACATAGCTATAGGAGCTGTTTTGGGGCAAAGGAGAAATAGAATCTTTCACTCCATCTACTATGCGAGCAAAACTCTGAATCCAACCCAAATGAACTACATAGTTACTGAAAAAGAGTTGGTTACAGTGGTGTGGGCGTTTGACAAGTTAGATCCTATCTAGTGGGGACCAAAGTCATCGTCTACACAGATCATTCAGCTATCAGATACTTGTTTGAGAAGAAAGACGCCAAGCCGAGGTTGACTCGTTGGGTCCTCCTCTTGCAAGAGTTTGACTTAGAGATCCGAGATCGAAAAGGGACAGAGAATCAAGTGGCTGATCACTTGTCTAGATTAGAAAATCGGAACCATGTAGCTAAAGGAGAGTCAATCAAAGAAACATTTCCCGATGAGCAGTTATTGGAAATTACCTCAAGCGAAGCCCCGTGGTATGCAGATTATGTGAATTTTATTGCAAGTGGGGTGATACCACCAGAATTGACACCCGATAATAGAAGAAGGTTCCTACATGATGTGAGGCTCTACATGTGGGATGAGCCATTCTTATACAGGCTATGTGCAGATCAGTTGGTGCGAAGATGTGTTTCTAAGGAAGAGATGAATGCCATACTGCATGACTGTCACGCTTCGCCATACACAGGTCATTATGGTGGGGATAGAACCGCCCAAAAAGTTCTACAATCAGGTTTCTATTGGCCAAAATTGTTTAAGGATGCACATGCCTTTGTTAAAAAGTGTGACAGATGCCAAAGAACCGGAACAATCACAAAGAAGCACGAGATGCCGCTGCAAAATATTCTGATAGTGGAGCTTTTTGATGTTTGGGGGATTGATTTTATGGGACCGTTCCCATACTCTAATGGTCATAGGTACATCTTGGTGGCGGTCGACTATGTTTCTAAGTGGGTGGAGGCCATTGCTCTTCCCACCAATGATGCAAAGGTTGTGGTA